TTAATTATTTTTTAATTTTTTTTATTTGAACAAAATTATCATATCTTAAAAATTAATCACAAAGAGAAAAATAACTCCTTTACCTAATCCAAAATTTATTTTTATATATTTGAAATGGTCCCAATAATTTAAAACCTCAAAAAAACAAAATTTTGTAAAAAATAAAAACTAATGTACCATATTTGAAAATTTTCAAAGCTGCCCCCCTTTGTCCTACCTCCGTCCCTGGTTGCTGAAGTTGATAATATGCTCATCTTTTTCATAGAAAGGAGCAACGAATTTTCAACTTATGTTTATATTTATATATTGTTGTTCAAATATCAAAGTAGAATATGAATGCTTTCCCGTCTCGGAATCGGATCCAATATCAAACGTCTTTTTCAATCTTACCAACTCCTAGGTCCTAGCTTTATCCTGTGCAATGCAAATTTACTTTTTAATGGAAACCATTGCGCAGATTTTCTATTTTGCAATGGGATTATGCGTCATTCCGACCTGTCTCTAGCGTCAGGTCACTACCTAGAGCAATCATGACATCTAATACTTCATTTGAGATTTTTTTTTTTTTGGTATTTTAGTTTTTAATTTTTATATATTTTTATTATTTTAATAATATATATAATGTTAATCAAAATAAAAATAAAATATATTTTATATTTTATATTTTTAAAAATATTAAAAAATTAAAAAATTTTATAATTACGGTTATAAGATAATGTTATTAAACCAATTCGGTGCAACGTTAGATAGGACCATCAGGACGCACAGCACCACTACCCACGTCAGCTTTTTCTTTGAGTGGTCGATTACTGTGAGCCCTACCCCGAGGGTGCCTAAGGAAATTATCATTTCGTTGAAAAGCTACTGAGGAGCAATGGCCGCCGCCCTACCCGATCTAGTAGAAACGTGGCAATCAGGATGAAAGTGGTCTTGAAGAATCCTACGGCTATGGTAGCGAGTAGCTTGTGGCCATCGGATGTGATTTCGGCCTTCTCGAAGATTCTTGGACTGTGGAGTACGACGGAGTCTATCCCTGAGCAAAATAAGCTTTGATGATAATTTTGTTTTTGGAAAAATAGTTACTTAACCTGACCCATTGTTGGCAGTTTATTGGTTCCAATAATCTTCTTTGATAAAGTGCATTGCTAGTTACAAAGTGGTGTGTTTGAATTGTTCTTTCATTCACTTCTCCTGTTGAAAAAACTCAGAGATAGAATGGAGTCTTTAACGGTCCCGGGGAAAATTGCACTCTTAGGTACCAAGTGCAATTATCTATGTTGTAGCTCAATTAAAATTCACTTAGAGAAGGGAAACTGGATAGATCATACTGGCAATTTTCCTTCTTGTTTTCTTGTTGCCTTTGTTTTTCCTTCTTTTCTGTTTTAAATGTCTATTGCTTGGTTTTGATGGTCATAACAGTGGACTTGAACCTATTTCTTGTATTTGATTATTTGATGATTTTTTTGGTGAATCGTGTATTGGTCTTTGAATAAACAAAACAATGGAATCTTTACTAGAATGAGTGGCTGGTACAAATAAAGATGATTCAAAGAAAGCTATTGCCATTAACGATAGTTAGTTTTCTATTTTGAAGGTTCTTTATTTATTTATTTAATTTCAAATAAAGGTTAGTGCAATATGTCACCTACCAATTAACATTTCTTTCAAGTTCTTCTATTTTCTAAGAAAAGGACTACTGGAACTTTCAATTTGATATTTGAGAAATAAAATTTGGGATGAAGAAGTGGATTAGGCCAGTGACATCTTAGTTCTCCAACTTTATGGAAAATATTCTGTTTCATTAGCTTCACTAATATTTTAACTTTATCTGTCTCTTAGCATGTATGACCAAGGTGCTTGGTTTCTCTTGTCAATGAGTGGTAGAATGGTGGTTTACCCTTCCTCTACTGGGACATGTATACTAAAGGTAAAATTTTCAATTAAACAAATTAACATTCAATTTTACTAAATTTACTGCTAGCATAGTCTACAACATTTCAAACTTATACAATGTTAACTTGGTTTCTTTGTCACAATCCTCTATTTTTGATAATATGTCTTAGAATTCAATTTCAATGACTCTTGGGTGATAAAGCTAGTAATTGCTTGATTTTTTTTCTTGCAGCATGTCATTAAAAATCATATTGACATGTTCTAAATAAATTGTTCTTGCTACTAATTGATTCTATTACAATTTTATCACCATGAGCTAGCTGCAATTCTTTTACAATTTTATCACCTTATCCCCAAATTGAAGGGGGGAGGTAATTCTTTGCTTTATTAGGCTAGTGTCTTGTTTTAGGTGTTGAGATGATTTTAAGTAAATTGAATATATTTGTTGTGTTTCCTGTGCATTGTGTGTCTGCTTGAGAAAATGACAGCAAAGGGGTGGTTCAAAGTTGAAACTATTTTGAAATTAGAGTATGCAACTTAAACTCTATGTAGCTATTTGTTTAGGTGGGAATGGTATGTGTTGACAGTGTTGTTGCTTCCTACAATAGCCAATAAGAAATGAAGCAAGCATGTGGGATTCCAGCTTGAGTTTTGATCATTTAAATATAGCCAAGCAAACTTATATATTATGTAGAATGTTGAAGAGTTGAATTCACGTGAATAAGTTCAAAGAAAACTTATATATTATGTAGAATGTTTACTCGATCTATTGTGAATTAATTCTATGTCAGGTCTACTTACTTTTTTAACTTATACTCTATTAAATCATCTAGTGTCATCCAAATAATAATACGTAGAGAAAATGATTTTCCTATTAAATAATTTGCAGGGAAACAAATAAATGAATGGAAACAGAAAAATATAAGCTTAAAAAATAAACAGAGGACTTAATTATCATAACCAAGCAAGATGGAAGTCATGGAAGCGATTATTGCACAAGCAAAGGCAAATTTGTTTCCTTTTGGTTTTTTTGCAGGTCCAAAATCCGCAAGGACTTTGTCTGAAGCTGGCAGGTGGCCGGAAACCGCATCAGGGTGAGGTCCGGCCATTATCTCTGTTTTCTGGTGCAGAAAATGAAGAGAATTAACAAGAATTTTGGGGGTGATGATGTTAGTTTGAAGGAGAGGAAGAGGAGGATGGCCGGATGGGCCTGATTGGTGGTGTTTCTTTGAGCTTTTACTTTTTTGTATTGTTAAGACTGATAAATTAAATTTTTATTGATAAAAAAATTTAAAAATAAAAAAAAAAGTGAATAAAAAGTAAGTAAAAATAAAATTTATAAAAAATTTAAATTTAATTAAAATTTTTTAAAATTTATTATTTTAAATTTTTTTAAAATTA